GGCTTTGCAGTCCCCTGGTGCGGGGGCTGTGGCCACCCGGCGCTGGCTCCCCCCATTGTCCCCTACCCGTCCGTCCGCAGTTCTCCGAGGACCCGCCGTACCTGCGCCGCCGCTTTGCTGGTGGTGCCGCTGGGCTGGGCCGGGCTGCGGTGCGACACACTGGGCTACCCAGCCTCCAGCCCGTGAACCCTTTGGGGCTCTCTAGCCACGCACTTGGATCTGACCCGCCGCCCCCACCCTTACGGGGCGTCGAACACCGTCCGGCCCCGGGCTCTGTGGGATGCAGGGTGTTTGCACCCGAGGGAGCAGTCATGGCGATTTAGGGCCTCTTCTCGCCGCTGCTTTTGTATGTGGGGGAAACTGAGGCACGGAGGGTGTCTGGCTGGTGACACAGTCTTTACACCTGTGGTGCACGCTCTTCAAGCTTCTCCAAGGTACCCCCCCCTTCCACTTCCAGCATCATCCCCGCCCCCCCCTAGTCTTTTTTGCTTTTCTTCCCACCACAGAGGCCCCAAGGCTGCTCTGCAGCATAGACCTTTTGATCCAAGAAAGGCCTTTCCGGGGCGTTCCGTGTCACCCTGGTTTTCCTCTCATTTCCATGTTTACAGTAACCAAGCTTCTGGGACTTTTTTTTCCTTCTTTCTCACCATTGAGAAAGAGGAGGCTCTTTACTCTTGTAGAGTCATAGCCCTGGAAACCCACCAGGGCAAGTTCTCCCCTGCCCCCTGGGGTTGCTCCGAGGCCGATCACATTCTTCATTCAGTGGTTAGCAAAACCTCCCCACATGGGAGGGACACAATGACCGGATAACAGGCCCTTGGGTCCCCCAAACCTGGGTTGCCTGCTCTCCCTCCCACAAAACACCTCCAGAAAAGCCTCACTGGAATGAATGGTGAATGCTCTGACTGGGACTGCCAGAAAACGATTAATAAACGTGGGCTATTGTTGACCTTAGGCCAAACCCGGCATCTTTTCATTATATAAATGACATTAGACAAGGTAAGGAAGTGGACCAGTTGGAAGGTTCTCACAGGCTGTGGTCATTTATTTTAAATGTTTCTGCCAAAAGTGAAAATAAGAGCTTTGCACGGAGGCCGCGCTCCATATATAACTATGTACCTACCTGCGGATGGATGCCCACAGGGACCCTTTGCACAGGGCTTCTTTCACACCCTCCACGGGCAACTCAAGTCTTTTCTCCCGAGCCTCCCTCGGGGAGGGGTGGGGAGGGCATTTTTGGCTTGCTTATTTGTTTTTGTCATTTCCTGGGACAACTCTTGTGTGGGTATTCTAGGACTGGGTGAGGGAGGCACTTTTGTTTGAATATTTCGACATTTGTAGCCTTTCCTTTGTGCTTGGATGTGTAGGGCATGATGGCGGCGTCTGAGGTAGATGATGGCGTGGCCAGCGTCCCCAGCCCTTCGGAGTCCTTGTCCAGTCTCTGTGCTTCCAAATCAGATGACGGCCTCCCGGATGATCTAAGGTAAAGTGTTGGGTTCTTGACTGGGATGAGTCACAGGGCTAAAGGGCTTTCAAGATGGACTTCCTATGGAAGCTGTGCGGAACCAGTCTTGGCTCTTGGGAAACCACCTTAGATTGGTTTGTTTGTTTTTTAAAGTGGGAACGGTGTCTGGTCCTTCATGTTTCTGGTCCCAGCTCTCTGCAGGCATGCTAAACCTCTGTGGGGAAAATAGACTCCAATACACGGTGTCAGACTTTGGAAAACATGGAACTCTTGCCCCACCCAGTGTCACATGGACAGCATATTAACATAGGAGCTCTGGGGGCACAGTGGTGAAGTGCTCAGCTGTGCTCCCAAAGTTCTGCCATTGGAGGGCACCGGCTGCCCTATGGGACTGTGTGCTTCCAGCAAGGTGTCCAGCGTAGGGGCTGGGGAGCAGTTCTCCTCCACCCTGTAGTGTTCCTGCAAGCTGGAATGACTGAACAGGAACTTGTTTATTTAACTTTGGTTTATATATGCCATAACTTTACATGTATGATGCACGCTCCATTCGGTAGGTATACTTTTAGCTTTATGAATGGCTACTGTACTACATGTGAGTATCCCCCACCTCCCACATCTAACCTCTGAGTGCAGGAATGGTAACTGGCTTCTTAGTCCTAATGGTAATGGTGGCTATGTCTTATACAGTGTTGAGCTATGTTGACTGTTTATCTCACCTCTCTTCTAGAATACCTAGGACTTAATGCTATACCTAGCAGCTTTATATTCATTAACATGTTTAATCCTCACAGCAGTTCCAGGAGGTAGGTGCTGATATTTCCTTCCTTTGACAGATGAGGAAATGGAGACAGAGGTTAGTAACTTGCCCAAGGCTACCCAGCTATGTTGGAGTCAGGATTGAAGCCAAGCTTGCCTGACCGAAAAGTACTTAATACGGGCTTGTTTCAATGAAAGTGTGCTTCCTTTGATAGCTCAGCTGGTAGAGCGGAGGACTATAGAATTCAGTGAAAGTGATGTTTGCTGGTGAATGGGTAACAGGAGGAATGTTAAACCTAGCCATAACCTTTGGAGCCCTGGTGCCATAGTGGTTACGTGTTGGGCTGCTAACCACTAGGTTGGCAGTTCAAAATCACTCAATGCTCCATGAGAGAAAGACGGAGCTTTCAGATGGAGTTACGGTCTGGGAAACCTACAGGCGTGGTTCCACCCTGTCCAGCAGGGTCACTAGGAGTCGGCAGGGACTCAATGGCAGTGAGTGTCCTTTTTTTTTTTAACCGTAAAGTTGGGTCTTTACATTTAATTTATTTTAGGGGAAAAAGATAAACCACATGCTATCAGTAACAATACTGTTAAACTCATTGCTATCCAGTCAATGATGGCTCACTGTGACCCTATTGGACAGAGTAGAACTGCCCCTGTGAGTTTCTAAGATAGAACTCTGCAGGAGGAGAAAACCCCATCTTTCTCCCATGGAGTGGATGGTGGTGTCAAATCGCAGACCTTGCAATTAGCAGCCCAACTTGTAACCCCTACGCCACCAGAGCTCTTTAATATTACTAAAAGTTAAGGTTTGTTGAATGATTTCTCTGCAAAAGGCATTCTATTAAACACTTGATATGCATCATCTCATGTGCTCTTCACAGTAATTCCACTGGGCAGGCCATGTTCTTTCTGTATTACAAATGTTCAGTAGCTTGCCCCACAGAGCTAGTAAATGATAGTCAGGATTCAAGCTTAGATATTGTATATCCCTGAAATCTCTCCCTCTAGAACAGCGGTTCTCAACCTGTGGGTCGCAACCCCTTTGGAGGTCTAACAACCCTTCACAGGGGTTGCCTGATTCATAACAGTAGCAAAATTGAAGTTATGAAGTAGCAGCAAAAATAATGTTATGGTTGGGGGGGTCACCACCACATGAGGAACTGTATTAAAGGGCCGCGGCATGAGGAAGGTTGAGAACCTCTGCTCTAGAATTAGTTCCTGGAAAGAGCACCCTCTTCGCTCGTCTTTGAAGATGTGTGCCTTGTGAGTTGCTCTTACAGTCGTTTTGCTTTGAACACTTTTCCCTCTGAGAAAACGCTCTTTGACCTGAGCCACGCTCACTGCTGGTTTGGGACTCCGAGGGCAGTCCAAGGGATCACAAAACAAAAGGCAAAGAAACGTAGGAGAGGTTTAACCATGGTAGTCAATAATTCTCTGTGAAAGACCTTAGAATTGTGAACGTTGGATGTCATAAATCTGTCTCTTCTCACAACACTGGAATGGCAGTGACAAACGGTAGGACAGTTATCCCAATGTTGCACGCCTTCCACTTGTGTGGATTCAAGATCGTCTGTACTTCAGACACCTTGAAGCGCAGTGGCTATGCCCTGGGAAACTGACGACAAACCTAAGACGCTTCCGTGAAGACCTGGGTAATGAGTTTGATGAAACCTCTTTGAGCCTGAGCATGGGATAAAATCAATCTTTCTTTATTTGTTTGGTTTTTTTGTTCTTTATTTGTTTTAATCATTTTATTGGGGGCTCGTATAACTCTTGTCACAATCCATCCATCCAAAATCAATCTTTCTAAAGGAGCATTTTGTTTATGAAAATATGCGTGACTGAACTATCACGTGTAACTAAACTGAATGTGCAATTGGCACCAGGCTGTTTCCTCTCCGTTCCCCCAGTGTTAATATGCAGGTTAGCGCTGATTGCTGCGTCCGCTTGTAGCGTCCCTTCTGCTCCGGCACTCACTAAAGTCCGTTTCAGACCCGCCGAATCGAGTCAGCATCACTGGGTAGACACCAAGTTCTTGTCATTCTGATAATTTGCAGGCTTCATGCCGCCCTATTTTCCTCCGTGAGTGGTTCCGTTCAAAGTATTGCATAATGTATGTGATCCTTTTTCAGTTCTCTTTCAAAGAATGGGTGAAGAGAGAATCTCTCTGTCTTATGTTTTTGATAGTCCCAAAGACTCTGCAGAGAAGCCCCAGAGCGTGTGTCTGTTGAGTGTAAGTAGCCAAACGGTAACCAAGGAGAGTATCAGACTTGCCCGTTTGGAACAGGCAGAGAAGAATCCTGGTTCGTCGGCAGGTGACACTTCAGCAGTGCACCGGGTGATTTTAGGAGAAAGCTTGGTGGCCACAGACCTTAGTCTTCCTGGCAGTGGGTCTCAGTCTGATTTGGAGGACTTGTCCAGCACAGCGGAAGAGGAGGAGGACTCATGTCTCCACGAGAGCCTCCCTCGGACCCGTCAACCTCTAAAGCCACAGTCCCTTTCAGAGCAGCTTGCCGCCGCGATTTCTTCCGAAGATCAATGCCTACGAGCCTTCGAACTAAAGGAAAGTATCAGGGCCACGGTTTGGGTCTCCAACCTGTAGTGCCTCTGAAAATGGGGTTGAAGGAGGTGTCTGGAGGGTGCTCAGGATAGCTCTTATCTGAAACGTTCTCAAAGCAGTTGCTCCTTAGGTCACGTATCGATTTGTACCGCAGAAATGGCATTCGAGAATCCCTTTGAAGGGTAGGAACCATTTCTTGCTACCTGGTGGAGCACTAGTGCTCTCCCATTACTCCTTACAGGCAGCCAGCACACTCTTGAGGAGCCCTGGTGGCATAGTGGTTACGCATTGGGCTGTGATTGGGGAGGTCTGCAGTTCAGAATACCACTAGCTGTTCCAAGGGAGAGAGAGAGACTTTCTACTCCCCTAAAGAGTTACAGCCTCAGTAACTGACCAGGCCAGTCCCACCCTGCCCTTCTGGGTTGCTGTGACTGCAATTGGGCTCTGGTAGTGAGAGTGGTTTTTAGTTACACTGTTAGCAAGTGCCATGAAAGGACCTCATTCTGGTGCTCAAGAAATAATAAAGCTCCTGGCCAGTTTCTTTCTTAAAGGAACTTAAGACCTTGCAAGTCATTTTCACCAAGTAAGTCCTGAGTGCCAGATGTTGGCATGCCCATCTCCCACTTTTGTCCTTAGCAGAAGGAGTCCTTGTTAATTCTCTGACCTCTGTCAACAAAGGGCAGCAGCATATCCTGTTTCTGGTGGCTGGTGTGCTCTGTCATGGGAGGGAGTATGGGCACAGTAGGTTGTAGGAGGCAGTGTGCTGGTCTCAGGCGTAGAACGTCCTCACAGTCAGTTGTTGAGTCTGTTGGCGGTGGTTTCGGGGATAAATGACGAGTGTACGAGGCCGCCAGTGTTTTCTTTGCTAGCACTGCATTGCTTCCCTCGCTGTGGAGCTCGTAGGGCAAAGATGTGCAAGAAGTTACCCCTCAGTTGCGGTGGCAGATGTCTAGGTGGAAGTGCTAGAGCAATTCTGCCTCATACCGTGCCTGAAAAAGTCTGACTTTCATTGTTTCGTCCCTTATAGGATAACCTTAAGATGGAATTATTAGATTTGAGCTCGGATCATGACATCGAAAGGAATCTGGTAAGTGCTGGTTCTGTCACGGGTGGGCACTGTCAGATCTCTCCTGTCCTTAATGACAATTCCGTGATTTGTTGTCTCTCACTTTTTTTCATTGTGCCTTGGGTACAAGTAACCAGGCAGAATAGTTTCCCTTTCCACAATCGACACACGTGTGTTTGTTTCATGGCGTGGGTGGTACAGCATCCATGTGCTGGCACTCCTCCCTCTACCCCCTGGGCTCCCCTTTTGAACACACGCTGCGCTTCTGCTTGATCTAAAGAGTGCATTGCTCGTAGGCCTGTCTGTAGTTGGCCTCAAAGGTGGCCTTGGAGAGGCATCTAAAGGGTGCGCAAGGACCACCATGTTGAGGTTTTCCCCCATCTCTATCAGATCAGTGGGTCTGGTCTGTGTATGATTCTGAATTTTGTTCTACGTTTTTCTCCCAATAATTCTATTTTGATCCTGATCAGCATAATGGGACCAGCTGGCTCTTCTGGTCTCCGGCTGTCGGAGGCTGTGGTTTGTGTGGTCCATTCGTCCTCTGAACGAATTTGTTTCCATGAGTCCTGGATAATCTATCTTCTTTGCTCTGTTCTAGGTGGGAAGAGACCTGTGGTTGTATCTTAGATAGTTCTCCAGTTTTTCAGCCCCTAATCACTACTCACAAAAGTAGGGTGTAGAATATTGTCTTTCTGGACTACGTGTTGCCAATTAACTTAGCTGTCCCCTGAAACCATGACCCTAAATCCTCAAACTCAGTGACACCCCTTAAGGTCTTTGGTTATGGCTAAACAGTGCATAGCTGCCTTCCTCCCTGTAAGCTCTACTATATACTTGGATATCTTTGCATCACCTATAAATAAGTATGTAAAAAGACCCGCTACCTAACTCATAGGGTGTACTCCCATATGCCATCCCACACCTGTCCATCGTAACATAACCCACCTGTGTATCCTGGTTAGTTATTGTTTGCTCTTACTGTCATGCAGGATCGCATATGTGTACTAGCATTTACTGTTGTTCCCCTGTGCTTACCTCCCCATACCCTCCTTCGCCGTGGTCATGCGCCCACCTCCTCTGTACGGTGGGCTTCTTTTCCCTTCACCCAAGTGAACACATGCCTGCCCTCTGGTTCCTGGTTTTCCTCCCTCCCCTCTCAGTCCCAGGAGCGGTCAAGGAATGTAAACCGTTCATGGCTTTTTATAACAGTGGCTCGCATAAAATGTTTATCCTTCAGGCTCATCTATGCTTTTAGATGGTTTGTGTATTCATCGTTTTCTTTCAGTGTGTGTGTGTGTGTGTGTGTGTGTCCGTTCATCCAATGCTAGGCATTTAGGTTGGTTATCTTTTTGCGTTGGCACATAATGATATGAACGTGGGTGTGCAGTATCTATCGGTGTCAGCTCTTACTGCTCTAGGAGATAAACCCTGCAGTGGGGTTTCCGTTCCCTCTTTAAGGAAGCACCTAGTGCTTTCCGCGGTGGTTATGTCAATGTACAGCCCTCCTAGTGGGGTTGAAAAGTTCCACTTTCCCACACCTTGCCAGCGCCTGTTGTTTCTGATTGTTGATCATGGTTAATCTCGCCGGGGCTAAGGCTCACTGTTGTTTGGGTTTGTATTTCTGTAATGGCTCATGATCCCCAGCATCTCTTCATGTGTGAGGGAGTTTCAAAAAGTTTGTGGGAAAATTCTGTTATCTTTTCATTCCATTTTTCCACAAACTTTTTGAAGACTCCTTATATTTGTTGGCTGTTTGACTAGAAAGCTCCTTGGCCCATTTTTAAGTTGAATTGTATGTCTTTTTGTTGTGGCGGTATTGGAGTTTGGGTGTGTTTGTTTTTTTAAATAGTTTTATTGGCCTTTTATTCATGTATCATAAGTTAATAGTTCGGTCATTTTAAATGGAGTTGTGCAACTGGAGTTTTCTATACATTTTAGAGATTAATTCCTTGTCAAATATGTCACGGCCAAAATCTTTTCCAGTGTGTAGGCTTTCTGTTTACTCCTTTTGCACAAGTCTTTCGATGCGCACACGTGTTTAATTTCTAGGAGATGCTGGCTCTCTAGGTGATCTTTTGCTGTTTGTGAAGTTTTAATTATGTTTGCTAGACTCTGCTATAAATTGTCATTAGACGCCGTCAGCTTGGCTTCATTCTCAGCAACCCTGTGTACAACAGAATGCGGTACCGCCCAGCCTCGTAACTTCAGCCCGGCTGTTTATATGTTTGAGCCCTTTGCTGCAGCCGCCTTCTAAGTCCATCTTGTCCAGGACCTTCTTCTCTTACACTGTCCCTCTCCTTTACCAAGCATGATGTCGCTCCTGACAACATGGCCAAAGTACAAGAGGGACGAGTCTCTCCAGCCTGGTTTCCAGGGAGCAGAATGGCTGTTACTTCTTCCAAGACAGATTTGTTTGTTTCTCTACCAGTGCAGGGTCCGTTTGCTATTCTCTCCAGCACCACAGTTCACATGCATCCATTCTTCTCTGGCCTTCCTTATTCAGTGTCCAGCCTTCGCATGCATATGAGGCGATTGAAAATACCATCTCATGGGTCAGGCGCACCTTAGTCCTCAAAGTGACATCCTTGCTTTTCAACACTTTGAAGAGGTTTCATGTAGCAGATTTGCCCAGTGCAGTATGTCATTTGATCTCTTGACTGCTGCTTCCATGAACATTAATTTTGGATCCAAGCAAGATGAAATCCTTGACAACTTCAACCTTTTCTCCATTTATCATGATGATGTCTGTTGGCCCAGTTGTGAGGAGTTTTGTTTGTTTTTACATTGATTTGCAGTTCGTACTGAAGGCAGCAGTCTTTCATTTTCATCAGCAAGTGCTCCAAGTGCTCCAAGTCCTCTTTGCCTTCAGCAAGGCTGTGCTGTCTGCATTTCCCAGGTGGTTAATGTCTTCCTCCGATCCTGATGCTCTGTTCTTGTTAGCAGAGTCTACCTTCTCAGAGTACTGGCTCAGCACATAGAGTGAATAAGTACGGTGAGAGGATGCAATCCTTGCTGACACTTTCCCTTATTTCAAACCACACAGTATAGCTTCCTTGTTCAGTTCAAACAACACCTGCCTTTTGGCCTGTGTACAGGTTGTGCGTGAGCAATGAAGTGTACTGGCGTTCACGTTCTTTACAGCGTTCTCCCAGTGGGTTGTGGTCCACGCAGTCTACTGCCTTTGCAGAGTCCGTGAAGTGCAAGGTAACATCATTCTGGCACTCTCCGAGTTCAGCCACGCCCATCTGTTGCCAGTAGTGGTACCCTCAGGCCAGGTCCTCTCCTGAGTCTCCCTAGTGATGGTCTGCCACAATCTTTAAAAATAATCTTCAAGAGAATTTTACTTCCATGTAATGTGATACTCATGATCAGATTTTATGATTTCCACATTCTTTGGGGTCACCTTTCTTTGAAATGGGTACAGATAAGGATCTCTTCTAGATGGTTGACCAGGTTACTGTCTTCCAACTTTCTTGGCACAGACAGCGGGTGACTAATGCCTTATCAGTGGGTTGAAACTTTTCAGTTGGTAGTCTTTCAATTAATGGATCCTTGTTTTTCCCTAATGCCTTCAGTGCAGCTTGGATTCTCCCTTCAACACCATTGGTTCTTGATCACATGCAACCTCTCGAAATGGTTGAACACTGATCAATTCCTTTTGGTACAGTGTGCCTGTGTATTCCTTCCACCTTCTTTTGATGCTGTCTGCACGCTCAGTATTTGGCTGATCCCATGGAATCCGTCAGTATTGCAGCTTGAAGCTTGCGTGTTTCTCTTCAGTTCTCTTGACATAAAATATGCTGAGCATTTAAAAGAAAAATATGCTGAGCGTGTTTTTCCTTTTTGGCTTTCTAATTCTAGATCTTTGCACATTTTGTGATAATACTCCACCTTGTCTTGAGCTGCTCTTTGACATTTTCTGTTCACTTCTTTTATGTCCTCGTTTCTTGCATTTGCTTTAACTTTAATAGTGGAAAGTATACCAGTGAGTATGTCTGCATTCCAATAAGACAGACGGTGGACTAAATTTGCCCCATGACATAAGCCATACGTAGGTTGATGGCCCCTGCCTCAGAACTGTGTTGTGCAGTAAAACCTGTGCTGATGGAAATGTCCTGTGTCTGTGCTGCCTCATATGGTGGTCGTGTGGAAATGTGCCCCGTGTGACTGAGGGTCCAGATTTATCATTTAGCTTCATTTGAATTACTAGCCACATGTGACTAACCTAGCGTTCTGAACAGACACGGGGTGAATCGTAAGATTAAATGTGGAATAACCTTTCCCCTCTTTTGTTTCCTAAAGGATAAAATGATGTCAGAGAGGACGCTGTTGAAGGAGCGGTACCAGGAGGTCCTAGACAGGCAGAGGCAAGTGGAGAATCAGCTCCAGCTGCAGTTAAAGCACCTTCAACAAAGGAGAGAAGAAGAAATGAAGAATCACCAGGTATTCTGTGTATCTTGAAATCGCCAATAAGTAAAGCAGCTATCCCTGATCAAACTCTTTAAGTTTGGTCGTGAATGAATGAAAACCACACTCCTGCCCATGAGTCAGTTCTGACTCATAGTGACCTTATCAGACAGGCTAGACCTGTCCCTGTGGGCTTCCGAGGAGCAGCTGGTGGTTTCAAACTGCTGACCTTGCAGTTAGCAGTCCAGTGTGTAACTGCTACACTAGCTTCTAGGACTTCGGGATGAATAGAAATAGAAAAGAACTCATTGACTTTTAAGGCTAGAAAGACCCTTTGAGGGCATCACAGTAACCTTGTGCTTCTGTTTAGTTGAGAGAGAAAAGGATTGGCCTGGTTTTGTTGGCGTCACTACCGACCTGGGGAGAACGCTTTCTTAGGCTCCTGTTGTTGTTCTGTGCCATCTGAACTCCATTAACCCCACGTGGTAGGGTCAAACTGTCCCAAAGTTTTCTTGGTTGTAATCTTTATGGAAGCTGGTCACCAAGTCTTTTTCCCACAGAGCCATGCAATGGGTGTAAACTGTTAGCAACCAGGCGCTTACAGGTGGCACCGTAGGACTTTTACTCAGACTGAAGTTTCCTTCAAAAAACCAAAAATATAAAAAGCAAGAGAAATCTCAAAGAACAGTTACTCGCTCTCAAAAGGCATGGCAGGAAACCAGAAGCCAGGAAGAAGCTCAGTCAGATGAATGGTCATATAATTAATAATGGTATAAGGGATGCTAAAAAGCAATCAAAAGTGTAGCCGGTATGACAAAGCACTTCATATCCGTGACTCTGAGATTACTACAAATTGACGGGAAAAGGCCAATAAAAATCTAGAAAGAGACCAGGAAAGGCGATTCTGATAGTTTGCGATGGCTGCTGTAACAAATTACCCTGGCTCTCGAGCAGCACTCATTTGTCCTGTTAGGGTTTTGTAGTCCCACCTGCTTTGGAAGCAAGGTTGGCAGCAGGGCTGCAATCCTTTTGGAGGCTTTCAGGAGCGCATGCTTCCTTGACTTTGCCGGGTTTTAGAGCCTGTTCATATTCTGTGGCTTAGGACCCCTGACCCCCTCCCGCCATCTTTAAACCAGTATTGGCGATTCTTCCATAGTTCATATCTTCTGACCTCAGTGAGGCAAGGCTGTCCACTGTTCAGGACCCCTGTGATTCGATTGTGCCCAACCGGATAATCCCACGTGATTCTCCCAATCTCAGGGTCCGTCCCTGTCCCTTAATCACATCTACAAAGTCCCTTTTGCTCTAGGAAGCATTTTATTCATAGACTACAGGGATTAGGGTGGGTGTGGAATATTTTGCTTACTACAACTGTAAATCAGAAGTCACAGGTGAGAAATCGCAGTTGAACAATGTGTACATGAAAAGATGGTCAGTTTTACTGGCATTCACTCAGCAGGGGATTTTTTGAGTGTCTGATGCATGCCAGGCACTGTTCTAGGCTCTGGAGAAGGGAGCATAGCCTCGCTGAGAGGCAGACAGTGACATCAGTGCAGAAGGGAGTTGGGGAAATGGACATTTACATTGATTACATGGGATTCTTCCACTCCGCCAGTAAGAGCTTAGCAACAGTACACTAAGTTGTCAGGGTTGAAGACATAGGACATTATTGATAAAAATATGACTTGTATCTTGTTTGAAAAGTTATTAGGTATTATTGGGTAAATTTTTTTTTTAAATCAATTTATTGGGGCTCATACAATTCATCACAATACATAGATCAATTGTGTAAAGCACATCTATACATTTGTTGCCCTCATTATTCCCAAA